AAGCGAGGCCACAACCAACAGGCAACCGTGTGGTCCCCACAGGCAAAGGAGCCTCCTCTGGGATCGACCGAGCACGGCTTACCGTCGACGAGTCTCATCGGAGAAGGTCGACAGCACACTCGAGTGCTTCAGGAGGCCCTGCGGCACCTATCGACACCTCCCGACGAAAAGAGAGATGCAGAGGAGCCACGATCTTGGACCTCCTCCTCTACCACGGAACCGAAAACTTCCACAAAGTCCTCTTTCCAAAGAGGACGAACAACAAATGCGAAACTGGCGGAGACATTGGCGAAGCCGCTGGACAACGGCGACTGCGCACCAGTCAATCCAGAAGGTGGGAGCCGGAGGTGTAGGTTCCAGAACTGTTTTCCACTCACGGATAACTGCGCAAAAGGCACATGATTGGGCCGAATCAACTTCCCAACGTTGGTGTCGCTGGTCGATTCGCTCGGTTGGTTCAGCCATGAAGCGATATTCGCAAACAGAGTTCAGCCTGGAAGTCAAGCACGTAGAGTAGAATAGACAAGACTGATTTGTTCCTCTACGAGACCGGTACGGTCTCTATAGACTGCACAGAACTGTAAAACAAAACGTGTCTGTCTGTCTGTCGCCGATCACTCTGAACCTCCGAACCACGCGCTTTTTGGACCCGAACGCCCGAGGCGCGAGGAATCAGACCATTGACCGTCCTGCACTACCTGAGATGCCCTCAGCAAGTTTCAGGTTGATTGGGGTCTCCTGCGTTAACGGTTGCCTGTGTCGTTTCAAGCACCAAACACGCGCATGCAGCAGGTGCTCCGGCACCAAATTGCTCCGATCTCGATGAATTTGTGCCTGAACGTTGCCTAACCTCCACCAAATTGTAGCCCCGTCCAATGCTCAGCTGGATTCATTAGTCATTCGACGCTGGAACAGATGTGTGTGTACCAATTTTGCCTGCTAACGAGAGGTTCCTGCCACACCTCTGTAACCTTCCAACGCGAAAGTATGTTCCGCGTATTTCGTACGCACGTCGACAACTTGATGATTGATGACTGTCGTTTCCTCGACGGAACACGTCCATCCATTCATGCATCCATTGTACAATAACTCCGATCTCGACCAATTTGGGCGTGTGTAAAAGGTCCTTCCCTGCCATCAATTTCCTTTCTCGAACGGGATTAGTAAGGGATTTGCCTGCCAACGAGAGGTTCGGGGCTCACCTCTGTCACCTGCCCCGCGGAGGCTGATTATTTCGCCGCGTTTGGTGGTTAGAGATGTGTGGCGTTGTTTTTACGCGCGCGCGCGCATTTACATGTTTGTCGGCAACCACCCCATCCAATCTACAGCGAATTTACAATCCTTTCGACGCTGGAATGGCTGTGTGGTACTGGTTTTGCCTGCCAATGAGAGGTTAGGGCCTCACCGCTGTAACCTCCCCACGAGGATTTATGCTCGGCCGCATTTCGCACGCACAGCAACAACGCGGACGTACTGTATTATGTTCCATCGCATTTCGCAGACACGCCTACAGCTTGACAGCTTGATGATTGATGGTTATAGATCTCTCTCTTCTTCGTCGGCACACATCTATGAATCCATGCATCCATTGTACAAGAACTCCGACCTCGAACAATTTATTCGTGCGTATAGTTGCCTTCCTGCCCTAGATTAGCCTGTCAATGCCAGGGCCGGGGCGCATCAGCACCTGCCCCGCGGAGGCTGCTTGACCCGCGGCGTTTCGGCTGCAACATTTAGTTCTCATTGTTTCCACGCGCGCAGCATATGTTGCTGGCTTCTTTCGGTATAATAGGACAAGAGCATACAGCAGGTGCTTCGGGCACCAAATTGCCCCCATCTCGATGAATGTGTGCCTAAACCTTGTCTATCCTCCACAAAATTGAAGCCCCGTCCAATCTAGAGCTGGATTGACAAGTCCTTCCTGCTGGAATAGCTGTCAGTGTGTCTTCCCATTCTGCCTGCCAACGAGAGGTTCTGGCCACGCCGCTGCAACCTTCCGACGCGGAGTATGTTCCGCCGCATTATTTCGTACGCACACAACAACTTGATAACTAATGACTCTCTCTCTCCTCGTCGTAACACATTACCCATCCATCCATGCATCCATTGCCCACTCCAATCTGGACCAATCAGCGCGTGCGTATGTTTGCCTGCCTGCCATCAAACTCCAATCCACAACGGGTCTACCCCCCTTCAAGGCCTGGAATAGCCTGCCAACGACAGGATCGGGGCACGCTTCTGTCACCCACCCCGCGGAGGCTGCTCATTTCGCCGCGTTTCGATCGTGTTACATTTTACGTATAGAATGCGCAAGTCCGCAGTTGGAGGCAACAAGATGAAGCAACGGGCATCTATCTATCTGTCACTTGCTCCTGCGGCTGCTTTCCCCGCATTTCGACGTTTTTTTATTTTCACACAATAAATCCATCTCCATCTATAGAAATAAGTCTAAGATAGAATAGCAATGAATCCTTAGCGTGAGGAAAGGCTACCTGTATGTCTACGGTTTCCCAGACAGCATAGAACGATATCTCGCCTGTGGGTAACAGGCTCAACAAGGCAGTTTGGTAGCCATGTTGTGTATCTACCTGTATGTTATGTGGGAAGTTGTAGACGGAAGGAAACGGTTTGTCGAGTGTTCTAATATGGCACCCTTATGTGGTTGCGGAGCAAGCGCGTCTCGAGGTGTGTATATTATCGTCATCAACATATTTTTTTTGTGTAATGTATGGGGGCATGTGCGGCGCGGTTTTGTGTTTTTTACCTGCGCGTGCACATGGAATATTTGTCAGATTCTTTGACTGACAAAATGTAGACCACCTCAAAAACACAAATTCGTAGAGGACCAGCACAGTTGCTTCAATCAAGCTGGGATACCAATGAAACTATCGTTACCTTCAGAGTACCGGTACGCCTACGGACAAGCGACAAGCTCAGGCACCCGCGAAACACGGCCGTTGAACAAGGAATTCACTGCCGTGCCTGCGCTCACACTAAGAACCGAGCAATTCAACGATGGAACCGATCCTCACTCGCGTCCACGCCGCTCGCACCCCTCTGGACAATCCATTCAATGGTAAGGATATTGTTGCAGCTGGTGCATCATCTGCAGTACGTCGAATCCCCTTTATGCGTTGTTTCTTGCAAATACCCCAGGGATCGAGACCAGAGAGGCGGCAGGATCATCCTCGCCAGAAAAGGAGAGCAAAAGGCCGACGTCCGTGCCCGACTTCGAAACGACGGAAACGCTTCGAACACAAGTGCAACAGTCTTCAAAGGACGACTACTGGTCAAGGTGACCACTCGCACTGCATGCCCTGTTTCACCATCGCCAATCAAATCTGTTGCCACCATTTGTATATCTCCTTGCCGGCTTTGGACATGCTTATGAAAAGTGTCTTGATTTCCATTGTTTCCCAGTTACAATCGCCGTCTTTGTGTGTGGTTACGCGGAGATGGTTTCATCATCATCGAGACAAATACTAATTTCAGAGCGCTTTTAGGTGCTGCAAACATCTGGGGAAACGAGGATTGAAGATCATTGCAAAGCATGGATGGAGTACTGTTTACAACGCTACTTTGGTGCTTTTTCCCATCCTTCTGTCCGTGTGCGCCTCAGACAAGAACTTCTAACAATTTCACGCCTTACTTGCTTCGCCGCAATCTCAGCTCGCCTTGCCACTCGAAAAGTGAACTTGCACCGCCCCACCTCCAGTTTTCAATCACTCCCAGTTGGCCGCCCTTGCCCTCCCACATGACAAAGGCTTGGCCTGGCGTACACTCTGGAGGAACAGGGAGAATACCTCGCGGCAGTGGGAAACTTCCCGGCCAGCTGCTCCTCGTATTCCGAAGCCTCGGAGATATTTCGGCAGTGTTCCGTCATTCTGCCGACGGAGCCAGAGTCTCTCCTGCGACATTGGGTCACCGCACAACGGGCATGCGAGGTGCAACCTGTAAGGCGCCGCGCGGTGTTTGTGGGGCATATGAAACCTACCGCAACACAGCAGTCCCAAGCTGTCTGACAGCAAAACGTGATATTCTGACGCATATGTCCACGGTTTGAAGTCCGATGAAAGTCTCGGAGAGTGAAGCGGGCAAAATGGAACGTACGACATGATTTGGTGTACACGTATTATTGGGCATCAGTAGGAGTCAACAAGAGGTTGATACACGGCACCATCCGATGAAATACAAATGATGCGGATCGAAACTGAATAATGATCGTCTCTACCTCCGCACGTGCACCTGAGTTTCACCTGGCGTGCAGTGACGACGACGACCATTGGGTTGTTTCCGCGCTTGCCATACCAACCCTTCGCGAGAGTCAAAATGTTTGCCACAGGGGTGAATGCTTTGGAGTGAATAGCGTTAGGTTTGGCTCTGTTTTGGTCACACTTGTGTCACCCCCTCGGTCCCTCTTACCGGGGAACCCCTTGCAAGTGACTATCCATTCAGTCTCCATACCAATAACATCACTCCTGCAAAAAACTCGACATCGGATCGGATTTACCCAAGTGGTTCGAACGTTTCGTCGTGTTGAAGCAATGAAGTGGGGATCAAGGTAGAACACGATGACATTATTTACCGCGGGTCGTGGTTTCCATGTCGGCTTCGTTACCTCGCGGGAGGCCGCCCGTTGGGGACAACGGTAAGTCTCCGGTTCAAATACTTGGGGTTAGTCGACATTTGGTCCACTCCTCGCTCGACCCCCTTCGGCCACGAAGCCATGTTGACCATTGTCTTCTTCGTTCACTTCTTCTCCGCTTTCAGGTGGGGTATAACAAAAAGCCGCCGGGGACTGAGGTGCTTGAAACCTGCGTGAAGGTGAGAAACTACTCATCGTCGGAACAAAGCTAGCATGAGTGAATATCGTCTGGATATGATGGATATTTTCCCCATGTCACCCTCAGACGGAAATTCCTTCAAATCGCCACGGATGTGCTTTCGATTATGCATGTACATGTTCGAGGAATTGAGTCGGACAGGGATAACCATTCTACATGCCCCCGAAGCGGGAAATGGGGGCTAGCCAAGATCACACCATCACAGCCAATACCAGCAACACTTCGGGAAACCCTTGCCGTGGAATCAATGCGCAGCTTTGCGTCAGGGAGCAACAGCCACAAGTCGCCGCGGGAGAAAATATTGGTCCTGGCAGCTGCAGAAACTCCGTGTGCTACGAAGCCCATCTGGAGTTAGCGGGAGAGCTGCTTGCGCGCGGCGGGTTCGAAAGGTGTGGGTGTATCCTCACGCGCGCATTCAAACCTAGGCACCCAATTCTTTTACCTAAGGCGGCCGAACAGAATGGTTAAATCAGGTTGGTTTCAAACCGTGACTGATAAATCGATATTGCGCGATTTTGATTATCGACAGGTGCACTGAGATTTGCGGGCACATACTCAGAACGCACGACGCCAACGACATGGAGGCCTTGTTTTCTCTTGCGCAAGCTCTGGAAGCGTTGGGGCGTTCCGAAGAGGCGCTTAAGTATGCCAGAGCGGCGGAGTCACTTAAAGCTGCCGCCTCCGAAGGTTGATGTTGAGAACACGTCGCCGGTCGGCCAGCACGCTGATTGGATATTGAAAGGGCTTGAGAAAAATTCCTTGTCGGGACAGTTTTGTGCTTGGCGATTATGTTTAAGCTGTCCCCGTGGTGAAGCTCCGCCACTGCCAACCTATTGCTGAGTTGCGAAACCACTCGTACACCCTAGAGGTGATTCGAACGGATTGCTCATTGTGTGTACCGTGTACTACCCGCCTCACCTTTGTCGTTGCGTGATGTTCCACATAAGTTGATGCTGGTGCGGGATGGGGATGCGGCGTGGGGGTTGAGATGTTGCTGCGAGTCTCTGGTGTTTGTAACAGGTGGGGAAGGGTGAGGGTTTGAGGAGAGAGGCTGGATCTTCCGTCGTGATCAAGATGGTTGAACCGATCATCTGTGTGTCCCGTCGTCCAAATGCATCGTTGAACCGACATCGGGACGAATGGCGGAACTGTCCGTTTTGCCCCCCGCTGAAGCGAGTCATCCATGACGTCGTCGTCAGGTGTTGATGGTGGGCCATACCCGTCTGAACAATCCCATCGGGCAATGATCTCTCACAGATGTTATGCCCAGGCTAGTCGTTCAAGCTTTAGAACCCGCTGACGCTTGCCGTGAAATCGACTTGGCGTCCGGACGACGGACGAGCGGGCGCGGGGGGTCCGGTCCGGTTTGTTGACCCACCGGAGCTAAGTCATGTTCACCGTCCGCCGCACTCACCAAACGTATTACTACCTTGGAGTGTCGCCTGATCTCATCAAACATGAAATAAACACCCGTACGTGAAGGGTTCCATCCGTCGCATGAATCGGTCCACGTTCCCTGAGTATCGTCTGAATTCTCAAACGTATGACGCATCGTACCTTCGCACAAAGTCAATGTGGTGACCATACCGACTTCTCTAGAGGAGTGGAGCTACGCCATCTCCGTATGGATACGTAAATGTCTCTCCCTGCCGTAGGGCGTCACGCTTCCCCGGGGGCAAGCAGTAGAGTTGTGGCATGCCGGCGCTCGATGCCGGTAGCATGCATGGCCAAGCCGAATCTATGTCGGTTTTCACCTTGTGGGGCACTCTCTGCAGACAGGAGATGAAGCGCTGGCGGCCGGCGGCCGGCGAGTATCGAGCATCGACCGCGAAATCAACCGCCTTGGAAACCACAACCTCAAGCACAGGGCCGATCGACAACCTATATGGTAAGAAGCACGATGACCACTAGACTGAAAGTCAGCGCTGACTAGTGGTCTGGTGGTCATCGTGCTTCTCAACACACGATAATCTAATGCCCGAGTCCGCTTTCAAGCCACGAACACGTCCCCCCAGGGTTGCCATCCCTGTGAACACCGCTGTCTTGCTCGATCCATGATCGGCCTGATCCACGATCAATGTACCATGAACAGCAAGAGATTCATCGGCATATTTGTAATGTCCATACATTTTCTCATGCACGTAGGGTGCAAATGAAATCCTCGACGGACAAAGTGCTCAAGGGGAGATTCGAGCCCCGGACATAAGCGTTTGTTAAGAAACACGATGGCCACTAGACCACAAGTCGACTGATTGTAGTCGTGTGGTCTGCAATATATTATAGTGGTCATCGTGCTTTACAACAAAAGTTCCTAACCTTTGTTAAGAAACACGATGACCGCTAGACTACAAGTCAGCGCTGACCAGTAGTCTGCAGTGGTCATCGTGCTTCTTAGCAGTATAGTCTACAGTCGCAAAGACGCCATGAACCTCACTCAGCGGGCCCCGCTTGTAGGGAGAGCGGCCGCCCCTTGTAGGGGTAGCGGCGGCCCCCCTCGCACGTGTAGCACGGTGCCACGGTGGCTGGCAAACTGAGATATATTCGTGGTCGTGGATTCGAACGAACGTTGCCCGTGCTGAAGTACTTGCCACTAGCCGGAGACACAAACGCAGCTCTTTGCAAGCATCAGTTGGGTTTAGCAACCCCATTGTCGAAACCGGAAATTATGTATGTAGAATACATACTTCCGGTCGCCCCGGTGGTCTAGTGGGTAACCTCGCAGCCTGCTAAGGGCCAGGTCATGAGTTCGAGTTCAGGCAGAGTGAGTTTTTTTCTCACTAATGTTAAGGAGGACCCGATTCGCGGGGCATCTGTCGATTGACTTTTATTTGAATCGGTACACCTTCGCTTGTGGCGTCAGGTGGATACTGGTTCGAATCTCCTTGGATGCACATCTTTTCTCCTGGNCGAATTACCCATGCTGGCCACAAGAGGTTCCCAGTTGAGGGTAAATTCTGTGGGTGGAGGGTGTTAAGGAGGACCCGATTCGCAGGGTATCTGTCGATTGACTTTCACCTGAATCGGTACACCTTCGCTTAAGTGTTAAAGAGGACCCGATTCGCAGGGTATCTGTCGATTGACTTTTACCTGAATCGGTACACCTTCGCTTATGTCGACAGATACCCTGCGAATCGGGTCCTCCTTANGGAGAGTGTTAAGGAGGACCCGATTCGCAGGGTATCTGTCGATTGACTTTCACCTGAATCGGTACACCTTCGCTTAAGTGTTAAAGAGGACCCGATTCGCAGGGTATCTGTCGATTGACTTTTACCTGAATCGGTACACCTTCGCTTATGTCGACAGATACCCTGCGAATCGGGTCCTCCTTAACACTAAATAAATCCTGGTCTAGGATGAAAGCGACGCGCTGCAAAGCTCGTTGTTAGTAAACCATAATCGACTTCTTCGTAAGTCGCGAGGGAAGGGATTGCTGTACCCTTCTCGCGATAAAAATACCTCAGGCATGAACCGCCGGAGGGGGTCCAGCCCCCCCCTCCTACGTGACCCCCGGTTGGGTCGTCTAGCTAATAGTAGAAGAAGTGGAGGATAGGGGCCAGAGGGGCAGACGACAGAGTCCAAGGATGGGAGAAAAAAAAAAAAACTTCACGGCGACCACCTAACGGATGGCGAAGGTGCTTGGAAGTTGTGTCGGGCGGGCGATCCCAAGAGTAATCTAGGTTTAACAACATATTCGCCTGATTGAGAGCGTAGCATCTGATTGAGAGCGAGA